CGGAGCCTGCCACCTCTCTTTCACATGAGCAGAGAACTCTATCCTAGATGGAGCCACACCGCTTCCTTTATGAAGAGCGCAGCAGTGACGCTGAGGGTTCCTTTTGGCCTCCAGCAGCAGTGAGCATTCCTGTGGATTCCTGGAAGGAGCTGCTTGGTGAAAGGTCTTGTTGTTACCACTGAGTTGACTGTGACTCACAGTGACCCTGCAGGGCACAGTCAAACTGCCTCGCGGGTGTCCCTGGGCTGTAATCTTTATAGGAACAATCCACTGAATCGCTTTTCCTGTGGAGTGGCTGGTGGGCTTCGATTGCTGATCTTTCAGTTAGCAGCTCAGTGCTTCACCACTGTGCCACCAGAACACCCCAAGTAAAAGCGTTGTTTATTGTTGTTGTTAAGTGCCGTCGAGTCAGTTCCTACTCATAGCAATCCTGCATAGGATTTCCGAGGAGCAGGGGTGGGTTCTTACTGCCGAACTTGTGGTTCAAACAGACCCTGCTGCCCATTGGTGGCTGGTGGCTGTATGCCGTGGCGTCAGTTCCGACTCACAGCGACCCTGTACAGGGGTTCCGGGGCTGTAAATCTTTTCGGGAGCAGAACGCCTCATCTTTCTCCCACGGAGCAGTTGGTAGTTTCGAACTGCTGACCTTGGGGTTTGCAGCCTGATTCGTAACCAGTACACTACCAGATCATCTTTAGGAACATTTAATATTCTACGGTTGTTGTTGTTGTTAAGTGCCGTGGAGTCGGTTCTGACCCATAGCGACCCTGTACAGGGTTTCCAAGGCTGTTAATCTTTATGGGAGCAGAATGCCTCATCTTTCTCCTGCGGAGCAGCTGGTAGTTTTGAACTGCTGACCTTGTGGTTCGCAGCCTGATTCATAACCACTACGCATGCTACCAGAACTTCTTACTATTCTACTACATACTGCCAAATGGCTATACCAATTTGCTTTCCAAACAATAAAGTCTCACCCTTCATTTTGACTTTCTTTTCTCAGGAAATCTTTTCAGATCCTTAGGCTCCATGATGTGGTAGGGTAAGTGCTGGACCGCTAACCACAGGGTCAGTGGTACAAACCCACCAATCACTTCTTAGACACGCTATAGACACATACACGCACACAAAAACAGACACGGAGGAAAATTCTGGCCCCCTGAACTTCAGAAGCAAGGTTAGAGAGGTGGATGGAGTGCTTGCTGGCAAGACAGGCTAAGCAGGGATGGCAAGAGGAGACTGGTGGCCAGCTGACCAGACAAGGTTCATGCATCATGTGAGTAGCTTTGGCAGCAGGAGGAAGCATGGCAGAGCAGATTTGAGCAGGTGACAGAGAAGGTGCAATTTCTTCTGTATCCCCATGCTCCCCTGGTGACCAGAAGTATGACCAGCTCCTACCCTCACCAGCCCCAGACAGACCCTGCTTTCCTGGAGTCCTGAGTTATGTGGTTGGGAGCCACACCAATGTGACGTGGGGGCCGAACGCTCTGCTCTGGTGTTCCACTTTGGTGTCTGGATTCAGATGGCTTGGTTCCGGGCCTACAAAACCTGCAGAGCCACCAGGCCACACTTAACCAGTCACCTTGCCCCCAGTTTCTCCATGGTCCTAACAGACACTGAAACCAGCACCATCAAGGGACCCCACAAATGACTTCCAGATTGTGGGGGCCAAGAACTCTGCTGTCACATCCATTCCACAACCACCTTGTGAGTTCCTACCAGAGATTTCTCTCCTCTGGGTCTAACAACAGCACTATTTGTTTTAATAAGTATGACAACCCCACAATGCCCCAAGGACAATAGATGATTTTAGCTCACACTATGAAACAAGAAAGAATGGTTCAAACAAATGACCAAGATGCAGAGCCAAAAAATAATTCTGAGGAAGAAAAGGCAATGGAACTCACTGAAAAAGAATTCAAAAGAATGTTAATTAGGTACCTTCAAAGCATCTATAGAAAGATTGAGGGAAGCAAGGAGAACACAATAAAAACTTTAGAAGAATTCAGAAAAATACTACAAAAATAAACAGGCAAAATAAATGTAAATTTTGAAACAATTAGAAATCCAGAAGATTCATACCAAGATCTGAGAAATGGACAACACATTAAAGGGGAAAAGGAGTAGACGTGATGCAATAGATTCCTGAATTAGTCAGCCTGACTAATTATATATTATATAAATCTATTGTTAGTGTGCTACAAGAACAATAAGGAAAAAAGAACAAAAGTATCCACAGAAAGCCTGAGTTATGTGGGGCACCATGAAGAGGAACAGCAGCAAATGGGTGACTGGGCATTCTAGAACAGAAAGAGATAAAAGCATGAAGAAAACTTCCCTAAAATCATAAAATACGAGAAGATAAGCAAACAAGAAACTGAATTAACCCCAAACAGGATTGATCCTAAAAGAAAAACACCAAGACCTATCATAACCAAACTTTCCAATATCAAAGACAAGGAAAGAATCCTGAGATCAACTTAGGAAAAAAGAAAAGTAACCTACAAAGGGGAACCAATGAGACAAAGCTCCGATTTCTCAGCAGAAAACATGGAGGCAAGAAGGCAATGAGATGGTGTACACAAATCTCTGAAAGGAAAAAATGCCAACCAAGAATCATACACCAAGCAAAGCTGTCCCTCCAACACAATGGTGAGATTAGGACATTTCCCGATTAACAGAAATTAAAGGAATTTGTAATGACCAGACCAACTTTACAAAACATGCTAAACGGTTTTCTTTGGACTGAGAACCAACAACAGCAGAAAGCAATCCAACATTACTAAACATGACAACACCACCTAGAACTCAATCCAGATATAGAAGTATTTAAAGGAAAACAAATCTATGAGACTGAAAATAGGGAACCAGAGATATCAATGTTTAATGAAGTCAACTACAAAGCAAAAAGAGGGAATAGTGTAGATGCAGAACTTCCAAATGACAAGGAAGTCAAGTAGATTTCAAGATAAAACAGACTGTTTTAAGCTACGAAAATTTTAATAAAGTACAGGGTAACCTCAATGAAAAATAACAACACCTGCACAGCAAAATAAACAGGAAAATCTGGGAGATTTAGTAAACAGGAGCTCTGGTAGCGTAGTGGTTACAAATTGGGCTATGAACCACAAGGTCAGCAGTTCGAAACTACCAGCTGCTCCGCGGGAGAAAGATGAGGCTTTTTGCTCCCGTAAAGATTTACAGCCTCGGAAACCCTGTTCAGGGTCGCTATGGGTCGGAACCGACTCAATGGCACTTAACAACAACAACAACACAACAGAAACGAAAATGACAAGAAAACCCACAAGCAAAATGAAAGAAGTATAGAAAATCATATGGAACAAAGAATTCAGTAGCACCCCCCCACCACACACACACACACACACAAAAACACATTGAAAAATGACAACAGTAATTCATACCTATAGATAATCACACTGAATATAAATGGATTCAATATTACAGTCAAGAGACAGAAAGACTAGAACGAATAAGAAAACAGGTTCCTTCAATTTGCTGTATACAAGAGACCTAAAAAAAAAAAAGAGACAGCTTAAATGCCATCAACAGAAGAATGGTTAAACACACTTTGATACATACATGCAACAGAATACTACAAAATGTTGAATAATGATGAATCTGTGAAACACCTCACAACATGGTTGAACCTGGAGGACACTATACTGAGTAAAATGAATCAGTTACAAAAGGACAAACATTGTAAGAGACCAATGTTGTAAAAAGTTAAAAAAGGGTTTTCTTGATAAAAACAACAGTCAGTGATGGTAGTGGAGGGTGGGAGGGACAAGCATCCATGGGCTAGAGAACAGACACATGTTAGTATGGGTGACAGGGCAGGCAACATGAGGGAGGTTACCAGAGAAAAGATGAAGGTGAGCGTAGCAGGAGACACAGGAAGGAAATGAACAGAGGTTAACTGTTGGTACATGGAGGAGATTGTAACCATGTAATGAAGCAAAGTACATGATATATTGAATGTAAAACCAATGATCTGTTCTGTAAACCTTCACTCAATTAAAAAAAAATAATAATAATAATAAAAAAAGCTACTATAGCAAGAGGGAGAAGAGCAGCAGTCCTCTCAAACTGGGTGGGAGACTGACCACCAAGAGCTGCATGGAGTGAACAAGCGAGGTGGAAAGACTCTGACACGGGATGACCCTAGCAGAAAACCTTCCACAGCCCCAGTGGGTTGTGTGAAAAGTCTCTTAGTTCTAAATATCTCCATGTGGCATCCAAAAGGGATGCCAGCACTGAAACCAAATTCTGAAGAGAAATATCAGAAAAGAACTAACATCCCACAATGAAGAAACATCTTCAAAGATGTTGTTATAAAAATACCACAAAAGAACTTTCCAACAAATTCCAGACCTAAAAGTAAAGCTTTAAAATGAGGCTTCAGCACAGAAGCTTTGAATCCTTTGCCGTGCCTGAAGAGGCCCACGTAAAGGAGGGCACTTCTGACCAGATAACACTGTTATTATTCGACTAGGCCTATGGAAGAGGAAAATGAGAAAGAAGATGATGACTGCACCTTTTGGAATTAGAGTGATCTGGAGCACTGTCTGTGAAAAGCCAGAGAGAAATGATTTTCGGCTTTGCACGTCCTATGGTTTCTGTTGTCAAAACTCAAGTCTGCCCTTGGGGTGCAAATAGCCACCATGATATAGACAAGTAAGTATGGCTCCATTCCAAAACAACTTGTTTTATCAACACTGATATCTGAATTTCCTATCATTTTCATGAAATATTCTTCTGGCATCTATTTTTTTTCTAAATCATTTAAAATTATAATTAGCCCACAGGTTATGGGCTGGATGTATCTTGTGGACCAGAGTTTGCCTACTCCTCCTACAGAAGCCCTGAGTTCTCAATTAAATCTGACCATTGGTGGAAAGATGGGAACATATGAGTCAAGCCTCTAGGGAAGTACACCGAGAAGGTAGGAAAGTAGATGTGTGTGTTCTTTGGTGTTTGTTTACCTTAAATCTCTTCTCTTGCTGAATTCCTCATGTGGAATTGTCCATGGCAGATTCTGAGGGAGACAGTTTAGAACTTCTGAAGAGAAATCAGAGAAATCCACGCCATACTCTGTTAGTATTCCTTCTGTTTCAGGCTCAATTTCACCCGCCTGTCCAAGACTCTTTGCCAGCTGCCTGTGGACAAGATAGAGAATAGCTGGGTTAGTGAATGTAGGCACCTGTTTCCTCTATCCAAGTGAGGAGCTGAGGAAGGTTCACACTCTACTCCCTTTCCATTAGCAGAAGTACGATCACCAGTGAGAGGCCCAATCAAAAGACACAATGATGCCCTTGTTGTGTTAAGTTCAAGGCTTTTTTCAGAAATTTTCACCTGGAACCAGCCGCCACTTATCTGTCAGTTCGGTGTACTGTGGCGGCTTGGATGTTGTTAGTTATGTGACTCTGTTCGTTATACCACCGATATTTTAAATAGCAGCAGGGTCACCCATGGTGGACAGGTTTCAGCTGAGCTTCCAGACTAAAGCTGAGTAGGAAGGAGAGGTGAACTACTGCTGAATGTTTAGCCACTGAAGACCTTATGAACAGCAGTGGAACACTGTCAGATATAATTCCAGAAGATGAGTCTCTTAGGTTGAAAGGCACTTAAAGTACGACTGAAGAAGAATTGCCTCATCAAAGTAGAGTAGACCATGATGACACGAATGGAGTAAAGCTTTGGGGACCTTCACTGACTGATGGGGCACAACTCAAAATAAGGAGGAAAAGCTGCAAACATCCATTCATAATCATAATCAGAACATGGACTATATGAAATAGGAATGTAGGAAAATTTGAAGTTGTCAAAAATGAAATGGAATGCATACAGACCGATAGATAAGGTATTGTTGTGGTTGTTAAGTGCCACCAAGTTGGTTCCAACCCATAGTGACCCTGGATAGGGTTTCCCACGAGTGGCTGGTGAGCTTCAACCACCAACCTTATGGTTCAAACCGAATTTTCAGTCCAGCACATTAACCCACATCGCCATACCAGGACTCCAAACTAGGTATTAGTGAACTGAAAAGGACTGGTGTTGGCCATTTTGAATCTGACAAGCATAAGGTTTACTACGTCGGGAACAACAAATTCAAGAGGAACGGTGTCACAACGTCAAAAAGAATACTTTAAGATCTATTTTGAAATACAATGTTGTCTGTGATAAGATAATATCCATACGCCTACAAGAAAGACCAGCTAATACCACTATTATTCAAATTTACACATCAACCATTAAAGCCAGTGATGAGGAAATTGAAAACTTCTATCAGTTTCTTCAGTCTGAAAGTGATCAAATATGTACAGCAAGATGTATTGATAATTACTGGCAATGAGAATGTAAAGGTTGGAAACAGAAGAAAGATCAGTAGTTGGAAAATATAGCCTTGTTACTAATGCAGAAATGATGCTGGTGATCGATCACATGATAGAATTTGGCAAGACCAATAACTTATTCACTGCAAATACGTTTTTAAAATAACATAAGAAATATATTCATGGACCTCAGAGATGAAATCAACAGGAATCAAACATATGTGGGAAAAGACAGTAGAAAAGCTCAGTATCATCAGCCAAAACAAGGCCAAGAGCAGACTGTGGAAAAGACCATTAATAGCTCATATGCAAGTTCAGGCTAAAACTGGAGAAAATTAAAACAAGTCCATGAGAGTCACAAATATGACCCTGAACATCTCACATCAAGTTAGAGACCATCTCAAGAACAGATTTGATGTAACAGACACTAATGACCGGACCAGAAGAGCTGTAGGATGACATCAAAAACATGACACAGGAAGAAAGCAAAAGGTCAATAAAAAGATGGGAAAGAAAGAAAAGACCAAAATGGATGTCAGAAGAGACTCTCCAGCACAGACATGCTAAAGTAAATGGAAGAAATGAAGACGTAAAAGAGTTGAACAAAAAATTTCAAAGGGCAGTTCAAGAAGACAAAGTCAAATATTATGAGTGTGCAAAGGCTTTGAGTTAGAAAACCAAGAAAGAACATGCTCAGCATTTCTCAGGCTAAAAGAACTGGAGGGTCAGAAAAAAAGAGGAAGACCCCAAGGAGACGACTGGCACAGTGGCAGCAGCAGTGGGCTCAAACCTAACAGCTACTGTGAGGATGATGCAGGACTGGGCAGGGTTTTGTTCTGTATTGCAGAGTTGCTATGAGTTGGAGCTGACTGGATGGCACCTAGAAATAACAAGATGAATGGGACCAAACACCTTTCTTAGGACTCCTGTGGAGTCCTTAGGTCTTCACAGACTAGTCAACATTAAGGTGTGAGAGGCTTTCTGCTTTCATCCGTTTTCCTCTTGCAAACACCTTCGGAGACAAGTCTGAGCAGTTGTACGCTGTCAAATCATTACTTTAGGCCATGCATGCTCACTAGATTCGACCTGGTATTTCTATTTCTTTTCTAATTCTATAAGTTTGATCTTAAAAGTCTAAAATATTTCAGCCGAACAAAAAGCAATACATATTCACTGCAGAAAAATGAGAAAATACAGAAGTGCCGTACAGGGAAGAAAATTAAAATGATGTACAACTCAGCCACCATTGTCCACAGATTTACTAAACAACTTTTACATAATCATGCTATCTCACAAATTTTATGTAATCAAGGATTTTCTTATAAAAGAAGGAAAGCACACAGAATTCACTCATTAGAATGGTATAAGGGTCTACTGAAGATTAAATTTTGGGACTAGTTAGAAGGTGCACAGTAAGTATTAGCACAAATCCAATCCCCGAAATGTGAAGATTAATCCAGTCTTCACATTCCCATTTCTCCTTGTCACCAGTCTCCTCTTGGCACACACTCTCTCAGACCCTAACCACCTGCAGTGAAGTCAGAGCTCACAAGTTAAAAAGACAGCATCCTTCCTACTGCCGAATAAGCAGGCATCGGCCACACATCTGGAAATTCCATATGGCACCCAGGCTGCTGAACTCCTAGCCACAGACTGGGGGCTAGTTCCCATGACCCCTTCAGGATGCCAGTCACTAGTCCAGGGGTCCACATGACATCCTTCCTTTAAGACCTGCTGGCTTCTCCGTCCTCTTTGTGTTCAAGAATTGACAAGAATGACTCATGGAATTCATGGAGAGTATACCATGTTTACAACTACAGAGTTATTATAACTAAAAAGGCTAGAAATGTAGAGATGCACAGGGCGAAGATGGAAAGGGTTCCCAACGAGAAGCGCCTCTGTGCAAAGGGATGCACTACCCTCCCAAGAGTTCTCACCAACCCAGAAGCTTTCTGAGCCTGCATGTTTAGGGCTTCTAAATCAGTCAACTCTGCAAGATAGGTGAAATCCGCTTCTGGAGTCTAGTAGATACTGGCCTCCCAGGTGAGTCTTTTCTGGTCTCGCCAGCTCCCACTCAGCAGCACAAATTCTCAGGTGTGGCCCAGAAGCCCCAAACCTAGGCATCCCAATTACTTCAAAGGTTATTTCTTAGACTCAGAGGGCAAAGGTCACCTTACTGAGGGTAAAACAAGGTCCTTTTCTTCATAGAAAGTAACAACGTTGAGAGGCTGGAATATTAGCCTCCAGTTAACAATGCAGCTCTGAGCTCTGTAAAGTCAGTGCCAATGGTCTGGGATCCAAGGCTGGAAACGGGAGCTGTGCCTTTCAATATCATACTTGAGACCCACGCACACACTGTCCAGCCCTGTCTTGCCTCATAATGCTCACTTCTGTGGTTGAGAGGGTTAGAACCTCTGGGCACACAATAAAGACTCCTCTGAATGGAAAGCCGAGACTATAACAATATCAACTGTACAAAAAAGCACAGGATTACGACCTACTTCCTTCCTGGGGGGGGGGGGGGGAAATATATATATATATGCAACTCAACTTAGAAAACTAAGACTGAGAAGTAAGAATTCACGAATGTCAAGTGGCAGACCATAAAAACGAGATGATACCCTGCTACAACTCCTGACTGCTCTGATGAAGAGACCACTTCGGGAGGCCCCTTAATTGGTGGTGGTGGTGTTTGCCGTCAAGCTGGTTCTGACTCATAGCAACCATGTATAGGGTTTCCATGGCTGTTAATCTCTACAGGAGCAGAAAGACTCATCTGTCTCCCTTAGAGAAGTTGGTGGATCTGAACCACCAACCATGCAGTTAACAGTCCAATGCATAACCTACTACACCACCAAGACTGTTGCTGTTTGTTAGGTGCCATCAAGTCAGTTCTGACTCATAAAGATGCTGTCTATAACAGAATGAAACACTGCCTTGTCCTACGCTCTGTTTGTTGTCAATCCATCTCAACCTTCCTCTTCATGCCGATCGTCTCCTTTTACAAGCACAATGTCCTTCTGCAAGAACTAGGAGCTCCTGATAACAGGTCCAAAGTATGTGAAACAAAGTCTCACTATCCTTGCTGCAAAGGAACATTATGGTTGGACTTCTTCCAAGATAGATTTGCTCATTATTCTGGCACTCTATGGTATATTCAACATTCTTCACCAATGCCCTAATTCAAAGGCATCATTCTTTCTTCATTACCTATTGCCCAGCTTTCAAATACATAAAAGGTGATTGAAAATATCATGACTTGGGTCATGACACCTTACTGTCAAAGTGAAAACTTTTGTTTTTGAATAATTAAAGAAGTCTTTTGAAGATTTGCCTGATGCAATACATCATTTGATTTCTACACTGCTGCTTCCACGGGCATTGATTGCAGATTGAAGTAAAATGAAATCCGTGACAATTTTAATCTTTTCCTGATGTTTATATTGTTGTTGTTAAGTGCCGTCGAGTCGGTTCCGACCCATAGCGACCCTGTACAGGGTTTCCGAGGCTGTAAATCTTTATGGGAGCAGGACGCCTCATCTTTCTCCCGCGGAGCCGCTGGCAGTTTCGAACTGTTGGCCTTAAGGTTCGCAGCCCGATTCGTAACCACTACGCTACCAGAGCCCTGATATTGCTCATAGGTCCAGTTGTGAGGATTTTTGTTTTCTTTATGTTGAGGCACAATCCATACTCTCTGCGCAATCCATACTCTCTTCAGCAGTAAGTGCTTCAAGTCCCTTTCACTTTCAGCAAGCAAGGTATTCCAGGTTGTTAATGAGTGCAGCTTCATACAGTCCAGCTCCTTGGACTATCTGCTCAGCATA